TTCACTAAACAGGGTACAAAAGAGGCAAAACCAGAGAAGGAACAGATTGTAAAATGGATTGTAGGAAAATGGTTTTAAAAAACAAATAACAAAAAAGAAATGAAAGCGATTACAACCTGGTTTTTTACGAGTGGAGGTTCCGGCGGGGATGTCCGGGTAGAGGGGAGTATCTCGGCTTGACGAGCTTATCTCTAAAATCCCATACCGAGCCTTCTTCTTACAAGCGTACCATCATGAGCCTATACCAACGGCTCAAACTACAAAAAATCAGGTTGGTACTTTTATCTCTTGGTTTTGATACCATCCACAGCTCACTCTCCTGATCTTGTCGACATTAAGTGTTTTATCTGGAAAATCAATCTATTCCGATGCATCTTGAGTTTCAAAAAAGTGCTGTAAGTGACGATGACGTCTCTTGCCAGCTGGAAGTACTTTCTTTTTGTCAACTTTGGTTCTTCTCACTGTACGTTTAAAAAATCGTATAGTTTTATGTATCTGGCTATTTTAGTTAAATTTCCTTTCTCGCAAATCACCTTTTACGCTACCAGACCATTGAACTACAGTTCATTACTCCGCGTTTGACATATCCCAGCATTCAACGCATTACCAATTCAAGCATCTCTCACCATCCTCATCTTTTGAGCTATAGATACTTTTTTTCATTGCGCTCGGGACACATATTTTTACAATTGTGTAATTTTTACGTGTACTTCATTCTCGGTGTAAAAAGTATCAGTCAAAACTACTGAAAGTTTTTTGCATGAGGACGTACGATTTTCCTGAAAAGTGGGTGTTTATTTGTAACAAAAAGAAAAAATTGTCCAGTCTGTTTGAAAAAAAAATCAATCGCGTTAAAACTGCCAGATAAAAAATAGAAAAAACAGAAAAAAAATAGAAAAAATAAATTGACCATCAAAAATAAAGACGAGATCAGCTTTTTTACTTGGTAGCCCATTTGACCATTTGAAAACAAAACAATTGATTAGCTAAGAAATTCTTTGAGAAAACAAAAGTTGATGCAATGAGAGCATATTCTCTCATAACGTAAAAACTTTTAACACCAATGTCGCACTCAAAGAAGCTAGTGAAATGGCTATAAGTTTTAGTATGATCGAGCTAAATCTCCTGAATTTTCTCGCCAAGTATGTGAAAAATTAAAACTTTTGATTGTGAGTAAGATACAGTTAATATGCATTGGTTTGTAGAGTGGACAGAAAACGGTTTAGCAACGGGCGCTTCCCATGCAGTAACCAACGTAGAAGAAAATTGTTAAAATAAAACCTGCCCTGAATCTCAAAAAACGTAACAGAGCGAAGTTAGGGGATAAAAGGCGAACCTGTATGAATTTTTACCAAACATTTCTGAAACAATCTGGTGTTGCAGGTTAAGGATGAAACAAATTGAAACGGATCAAGGCCAGCCAAATGGTTGGTGAAGTTTTTCTAAATTATATGGCAAATATAGTTATAACGAGGAGGTAGCGATCCTGGGGTAGGCCTCGCGGCGGCTAAAAAAAATTGAATCAAAACTTGAATATTTAAGAAACGGAGGATAACAGTCATTTGGTGCTCATTTTAGTTGCTGCGTCTTTTTGCAGTAAGAACGACGAAACGTTATTGAGAAAATCGGAAACAAAGGACAGAAACTCAAAGTTCGAAAAAATGGTTGTATATGAAAGTATCTGAAATTTTAACAAAATCATTGAAAATAAGTAAAATTCAGTTTTTCCGCCATCAAACGAAAGAAACGAGAAAAGTTCAAAAGACTCAGCTCCCCTTGTAAAAAAGCATTTTAGGGCAGTCTATCGCGTGCACTAATTAAGAAAATCCCCTGCACAAATAGTTTTTTTTACTAGATTAAAAAAAAGAAGCTTGCCATCCCTCATAACTTTTTAGCACGTGAATTTAAGACCAGACTTGTTTAATTTTTATGTAGTTAAAGTAACTCCACATATGTTAGCAGAGCGATCAACGTGCCTTATTTAGCCGAGAGGACTGATGAAAATTGCAAAAATTACTCTCCATTAAGTCTGCTTTGCAAAAACTGATACGGAGGTTGGCGGAACTGCTGAGCTGAAGTCAGAGACTAAAGAACAAACGGGCAACACATTTAAGCTACTTAAACTAAGGCCATGCTTTGTTGGAGAAATGAAGAGAGTCAACACGCGTGAAGAGTCAACACGCGTGGAGAAAGTAGATAAGTAACCATTAAATGGTAGTCCAAGTACTTACTTAAATAATTGTCATTTCTGAATCAAAAATAAAATCGAAACCAAAAACCTTAACAGAAAAAAAAATAAAAGTATCTCAAAATACTGAAAGGAATTAATTTTAAACTAATTTCATTTGCAATTACAGTTGTATGATTTTGATTGGTAAAAACATTTAAGTATGTTTTATACCAGGTTTTTCACTTTTTCTTTGATCATTTTTTTGGAAACATCTTTGAAAAAAAATCTGATCCTGATGATGCACAAAAATTGCACAAATGTAACACCAGCAATATAATTTTCTTATCAAAAACATTTAATTGGCAGTAGACTTCCTAACGGACTTTTTTATGAACAGTGATTCAATTTATTCAACCATTGGCTACAATTCAAACAATCAAAAATTGAGTTGAATACTTCGCTCACAATTCAATCAATAATCACTCCAATTTAATAATTTTGCTCAAAAAAGTGGCCAGTTTTTTATTTTATTACATTTGGGTCATGGTACAAAAGAGACTTCATTTTATAAAATAACGTTAAACTCTACTTGAGTGAATAAAAAAATGGAAGGGTGAAGAAAATTGGAGCTTTATTTTTATAAAAGTACAACTACAGGTAAAAATAATTCGTTTTCGCGTCAACTGAATTTTTTGAGAAAAAAACTTTCTATTTAAAAAAGCAGAACTTAGCAATGAAACTGCAACAGAAAAACTTTGGAATTATCGAGCTACATATCGAAGGAATTGGTGGGAAAACTCAAAAAGTATTCGTGAAAATAATAGTTATTCAGACACAAACGTTACTTTGTCCTATTCAGCAAGTCAGGAAGGCTGGGATATTGTCGAGTAATAATTCGCGCTAGTGAAAAAAAAAGGTTTGTCAACGAAAATCTAGAATCAGAAAAATTCAGTCGTTGGGCTGTGCTTACATCATATTAAGTTTCAGCTCTCTAAACATGCCCAAAAATTAATTTAACGACTATTAATTTTGTTTTCAGTATCATTATGATTCTCATCATCAAACTTTGCATTTGGTCTACAACGTACCAGTATATAGATAAATGAACGATAAACGAACACACAAAAAAGTAAACTCGTTGCTATCGTAAGCCACTGAGTAAGAACTTGTTATCGTAAGAGCACACTAATAGTTTACTTTTTGAGAATATAAACAAATTGCATGTTTTCAGCACTTTTGAAAACGTGTTTTTCTTTTTTAGATCATATCCGCCAAGGAAAGTCTCTTTCAACCGTCCTCACTATATCATCACCTATCGTAGGAAACCTTTCACATTTTGCGGTTTGCCTCTTTTTCCTTCCTCGCACTGCATTTTTCACGATACCACAACGTTCAAGTTCAGCTATAATTCTGCGTCTAGCGTCTGACTTATTCTAGCATGTTTCATGATACCACTTCAAACATCCCACACAATCCTCCTTTTGACCTGTAGGTCGCTATGTATATCTCGCTTTTGACTCTAGGTCCTTTTTTGCGTTCAAGGCACATTTTCATACAATTATTACAAAAAAATCACGAAACAAGCTGTAACTAGAATCCTGAATTTTGTAGTCGCCGGTGAACTCAAGACGGGCAAGGAAACTTAAAAGTAGTTGAATGTATATAATACAACGGAGGCATTATACTCAAAATAACAGAAGCAGCGTCTTTAAGCGTATAAAACGGCGATAGTTTTAACAAAATTCCACAAAAGATGATCCCAAACAACTAACATTTTTTCAAACCAAATAATAGCAAGAAAACAAGCTTTATGTTTAACATGTTGTTCAAGTAAGCGTTTACTGATAAGAGCACAAACTACTTTGTGTGACTAAGGCTTTCTTGAAAGTGTTTCTATCAATTTCAGAACTTTAGGCAAAGTTGTACAACATTTTTTTAAATGAACTTATTATCAATCCAAAAACCAAGAATTTTGTGTTTTCAGCGATCTTATAGTTAGCGACACAATCTTCACAGCCAAAAAAAATCTGCTGTTTTATCTTGGTTAAGAACAAATCGCCATTTGTAGCAAAATTAGTCCGGCGAGTCATCATGGCAGATAAAATGAGTCGGCGATATTAACGAAAAACTGCCATCGGCATGATCTATATTTGCTGTCGAAACTTTTAAATGTACTTTAAAATCTGATTTGGTTCGGGAGGCATAAACCGACTCGGGTGTTTTGGTTGTGGTTTTTAAGAAACGCCGGTAGTGGTTGAACGATAATCCCAAAACATTTTTGTTTATGGAGTCTTCTGCGCCAATATATACTCGAGGTATCGCGACCTAAAAATGCCGTTTTTTGATAAAACTTTTCGAAAAAATCTCAAAAACATTATTTTTGGCCTGTTTCTTTCAAAAATTTTCCTGCGGCTGAAAATTTGGTTGAATTAAGCTCTTCATAGTGTACGGCAGACTTGAGAAATATTAAATTTGTTTGGCCTAAAAACGTGGTCGACAAAATTTATGCTTTTTTTTCAAAATCCAAAACCCTACGTTCAAGAAAACATTGGTATCATCTTTTCTTGATTCTAACTATGTCTGGAAACAAAAGCGTTAGAGCGGTTTCAAAAAATCCACACATTTTTGTGCAATTCGGCCAACGCCCAAGTTGCGCGCAATTTTGCTTATTTTGAAATTTATTTCTTAATTTGGTTGATTGAAGCTCAATCGTGATGTTGTCGATACTGTTTGTTAAATCTGCATGAATTTCTCAAACTTTATTAACAGATCATCAAATTCAGGGGTGGAAAAAGAGTAAAAAAAACAAATAATTATAGTTATGGCTTGTTTTCAATTGGCTGAAAATTACTTAAATATGAATATTAAATCAAACTTAATCCGAAATAATTTAGCTTATTTGGTTTTGTTGGTTGTGATTACAAAATCTTCGATTTGGAATATTGAATCATCTTCTCAACTCGTTTCAGAGCGGCGCCGATGTCACTGGACTGAATGTATCTGGCTACTCTGATGAATAGTTTTACAATCAAGTGGGTTAATTTGGCAGCTACCAGACCAGCAAATGATCCCAACAGGTAGTTAATTAGCTTCAACCTAAACAGAACAGGAGTGGAATTCAACCGCACTCGGAATTTGAAATGGCTGCTTCATCTGTAAACCCAGTGGCGCAAGCAGGCTTTTTTAGATGGGCGAGACTATTCTCCGAGGTCTTCCAAAAAACTGCAAACACCGTTTTCGGGCACTTTTGGATTGTTTTGATTTAAGAAAAGCATTTAGAGAAATGTCCCCTTAACTCCGCTACTGACTTCAACACCACAAAGAAACCTGAATTGTGGGGTGACAACTTGTAAAAATGAAAAATATGATGCGAATAGAGTACTTTGAGTGTAGCCAAGATTCATTCTAAATTAATCATATTACCAAAGAAAAAATGAATTGAAACTTTAATTTGTGTAACTAACAGCATACAATTGCAATCCCGCTTAACAAACGTACCCGCATTGGAGTTCCATGAAAAAAAATCAATTATAATTGAGTGTCCTTGTCAGTGTCAACAAAAGTGAAAACAAATCGATTATAATGAATTCAAAATGGATTATAATATTACTATTTTTCGAGGCAACAAAATCCTTTTTCATACATTATATTCAATTTTTTTTTCAATTTTATGGACACTGACAATGAAACCAAAATATAATCGATTTTTTTTCTCTTTACTGAGATAACGAATTTCAACACACAGAAAGTCTTTTCTACGTTTTAAACTAAAGTTGGTTACGTTGGTTACTTGTTGTTCAATTTATTTTTTTTCTGACTAACTTTAACATTTTTGTTACTTTTTATGTTACTCAAAAACTGAATTTTGTTCCTCTCAACAATTTTGTTAAATTATTAGAAATATTGGTGGGGGGGGGGGGGGGTAAAGTTGGAGGTGGAATAATCCGCCTTCCGTTACCACCCCCCCCCCCTCTTTCCCAGCGTTTGCCCATTTACATCAACGCCACCCCCCCCCCCCCCCCAGGGAGTTGGCCTCAGTGAGCGGTGGGTTCAGGTGGGGTGTTGATCTGGTGGGGGAGGGGGTTCAGGTGGGTAAGGGGGGTTCAGTGGGGGGGGGGGGGAGACGGGTTCAGGTGGGGGAGCAAAGGGGCAAACGTTAGGGTAGGGGGGACTTAACGGAATCTTTTTGCAAATTGAGTTTAGGTTTAGAAATGGGTTAGGCCGTACAATCGCTTTGCAAAGTTTCCGCATAACTCACTTGATAATTGCAGAAATTCAAAATTTTACACGACGCGCGAAACAAAAATAAAGTTGAAAAAAAACCATTTAAATATGTTTTCCTACTTATTATAAAATCCATTATAATGGATTCCAAATGAATTATAATGCATTTTATTTTAGCGAAAAAATGGATTTAAATCCATTTTTAGTCCAATTTTGTTGTCTGAGCGTACCATGGGAAACGATTATATTTACAACTTTATAGACCACGAAAATGCATTATAATTGATTCGTTTTCACTTTTCTTAAATGCGGGTAAGAACAATTTTACTTGCGCGTTTGTAAGAAATGCATAGTTTATACACAATTGTTTTTCAGAACTATTACACGGCTGGGGAGGGCATTCTACGGTAGGTCACTCAGGGGGGAGATCGCACGGTTGATTCAGTATTTTTTCGAAAACTTTTTTTGCCAAATTAGCGCTAAATGAAATATTCAAAATTAGTTTTCTTTATCATTTAATCAAGTTTCTTATCTTAAAAGTCTTTAAGCAAAAAAAAAAATTTGACGAGAAATTTTTGACGAGAAACCCATACTGAACAGTTTCTTCAACTCTGACGAGAAACACTTAATTCTACTCAAAATATCTGGCCAGTTTTTGTTGGGAACGTGTACTCGCTTGATATTAGATTAAATCTTTAAAAATTCAAACCAGTTTTTCTGAACACTGGGACGTTTTGAAAATTTTTTAATGTCGTTTGAATCAAGACTAAAAGGGCTTTAAGGTTATATATTACTCGAACCATTCTGATGATCGATTGATTTGGGAACCTGATTTTGCGGGGAAAACAAAAAAAAACTAAAACACACTCGAATACAAAGTTCCTCCCCATTTTTCATCAACTCCCCACAAAAACCTTTACATCTAGTTGATCAAAAATGGCGGTGGTAAAAAAGCGCCAAGGGAAGGAAAACTTTTGAGGGGGTTAGATGATTAAAATCTATTAAACTGGAGATCTGTGGGATAGGGGGGGGGGTGTAAAAAGCATCTCACTGGATATGAAGTAATTTGTTCTTGTTACGTGTTCCTTACTTCTGCATTCTGCTCCTCGCTTGCTGCATCTTACTCATGTCATCTTTCATCACGAACTTCTTGGTTCCGATGCAGTACAACTCCACGTATTTTTCCCAGTCCAGACCCTGCATCGAAATGTTCCACTGATGCGCCCAGTTCTGCTTCGAGACATCTCCTCTGGATCTCCGGAACTTCTCCAGCATCAAGTCCAGGTCGTGGAGGTTCTTGACCTCCCAGGTCCAGTAGTGAGAAGTGAAGAATTCGAGCGACTCAAGAGACCGATGCAGCTTCACGTACATTGCACATACCCTGATTTAATTAATCAGCCGGTTACCATAATATTTATCCTTTTTTTTTCTTCATTTTTTTTGTTTTCTTTCATTTTTCAGGTCTTTTCTGATATGCGGACCAAAATTACTAAAAAGTTGACAGAGCTAATGAGTTTGGCTTCAGATTTCCTTTTATATTAATTTATATCATCCAATCAGATTCGAGAACAAGCATTAGGATAATGATCAATTAAGCAATATAGCAAAAAAAAATAATTTTTGGCCGTATAACAGAAAAGACCCTATTTTTCAAAATTCACGTAAAAACTTCCACGGGCCGATTTTGGGATTTCGCAAAGACAAAATTTCATGCAAATTTTCTCGACCGTTTTTTAGAGTTTGACCAAATTGATTTCCTGAGCTATTATCAAAAAGTTTAAAGACTTTGTTTAGCTGAACTTTTATGGTTCGTCGGCAGGAACTTCGCTTGAAAAAGCGTCCGCCACGCCACGCACGTTTGAAAAATGACATAGAGGTTTTCAAATCGTCTACAATTTAATTTCCTGCTTACTTTGGTTTCTGTCCCGTGCATCTCAGAAGGAGGTCGAGAAGGACTGCCACAGAGTTGTGACACAGAGCAGTTTGAATCCGGTTCTTCAGTCTGAAAAACAAGATGACTCTTAATTATAATCTGCGGCAGAAGTTAATTGAGCAAAATTGCCTATAAACCATCATTGCTTGTTTTCTAAGCAATTTTGTGATTCTAAGCATCAAAAATCGAAGCATTTTTTAAATTCTAGGCAAAAAAATCTAGGCATGTTTTGTATTCCAAGCATTGAAAATCCATTTTGGAGTTCTGCTTAGTCCTATCACATTAATGGGGACATCGGTTCGAATTTGGATGCAGATATTGAATAGAGGATATAGGGAAGGGGTCGGGTTACGGACGCTTTTTCCCTCTTCTTACGGTCCCCCTTTTTACTGGGGACATCGGTTCGAATTTGGATGCAGATATTGAATAGAGGATATAGGGAAGGGGTCGGGTTACGGACGCTTTTTCCCTCTTCTTACGGTCCCCCTTTTCTGGTATCTTTTTTTCTGGCAGATACCCTGAAAAATTTATAGATGCGCCTTTAGCGCCAATATGTACTCTTTCTGACTAAATCGAGGAAACAATTTTGACTAACTCGAGGAAACTTTGTAGAGGTCATGAGTGTAAATAAAGTCCTGTTATTCCTGATTTGAACTTTTAAAAAAAATCAAAAAGTTGTCTCTGTATCAAGAAAAACGTGTTTGAATATTTTCGATTTTCAGACAATTTAAACGAAATTTATTCAGAGCCTGGAATCCACAAAAATTATTCTACTAACGTTTTTTTAACTATAGTTATTTTTCTTTTCTAGAAGAAAAAAGCAATTGCCGGAAAAGAGCCAATGAGCGCAGGCAAACAGAAAAAGTATTGACTAAATCTTTTTTCGAAAAAATCTCAACTTTCAAATTTCAAAAAACAAAAGAGATATTCCTTAGAGTTCTTTGAATTTCGAGAACAGTTTTTGGTTGACAATTTTGTAGCTAAAATTAACTCACAACAATTTGAAAAAAAATCTAACAAAGGAAATGAACTGAATTTGAAATGAAATCAAAAAATCGAAAAAAACATTTGAGCCTGAACAAACTGAGAATTTTTTTGAAAAAACAAAAAAAATCGCATATCGTACTACGTTCATCGATTCTTAAAAGCATTTAAAAAATTTAGACAAAAATTTTTTTATTCAAAACAACAAATTTTTTCTTTTTCAAAAAAAATGAAAAATTGTGTAGTTGAATGCTTTTCATGAATCAATTTGGTTGGATCATTCTTCACTACCTGAACGGCAACCGGTTATCCTTGTTATTAATAACTAACTGGTTGTCTGTGACTCGCATCCTCGGGTACCTCACAGCCTTCGCATATGGATGAGCACAGTAGTACTTCTCAATGAGTCTGGGAACTCTGTCCCACACCAGTGGCTTGTCAATGTGCCCCGACTCACAGTTGATCACGAAGTTTTCATCTGCTGTAGTTTTATCTGTCGTTGTTTCGGTGGCATAGTTTGGGTCGCTAGGATATGATGAGTCGTCGGCAGTTTTTCTAGGGCTCGTTTTGCTCGCAGAAGACTCAAGGCTAAAATTGTAAAAAGCAATGAATCTGTATACATTTGCTTTCGCAGCAAAAAATTGAATTTTTTTATGCAGATGCCTAGAGTGTAGTAATAAGTGCTTTCAAGTGCATAAGTAATACATAATTAATTTGCATTCGAGACGTATCTAGAATTTTATGAAGGAGGGGGTAGCTGATGTTTTAAAACAGAACATTTGTCGCTTTTTTTTATCGACCAAATATTTTTTCAAAGCTCTCCTGAAGCGTCAAAAAACTCAAGCGGTACTAATTTTTTTCTACGCCAAATGCGATGTAAAATTGAGTAAAAACAATCATAATAGTAACAAATAATCAAACTAATCACAATAATTTTTGAGTGACGCGCAAAATTTTATCGCTTTTTTTAAATTGACTTAATAATTTTTCTGAGCGCCAAAAAATGGATGAAGACTAATTTTTCTGGTCCACATGCCACTTAAGATTGAGTAAAAATAAGCATATATGCAAACAGATACACCTGGGAGAACTTCAAATGCATTTAGCCTATCTAGTGACGCCTCGAGATCAACGACATATAAAAATCAAATTTTGCACGCTTCACACAGCTTATCATTGAACTAAGTTTCATCAACGTGTTAAAAAAAATTTCTTCAGAAAAAAAAACACAAACACGTGTTTGTTCTACTGTTTTTATAAAGGCACAAAAGCCGTGAAACCCTTTTTCTAAAAACCGAATTCAAAGAAGAAAGGCATATACCATTTTGCTTCTCATTTTCAGTGTTTTTACAATAAAGACTCTCAGATATTTTCTTAAAAAATGAAAGGGTTATGTTAGTGTGAAGACTTAATTGGCCGATGCTAGGGCTCTGAATTTTTCTCTTGGCTGGTGTTCTGTTTGGCTCTTCTCTTGATCTCTAGTTAATTCAGCAGATCGTGGGAACAGAATGTTAATACTTCTTCAATGGATACAAAAAGGATACAAAAAAATTACAGAGCCCTTAATGAGCTAATTACTTTTAAACTACTCCTTTAACCAAGCTCACATTTAGCACCGTTAGGCCACCGCCGCGTTTAGTCGCTCGTCAATCACTCATCAACTTCAACGAACCAATTCGCTCAAGTAACAAATTCAAATCATTTCTAAATTTGGGTTCGAATCATTTAACATTTAGCCTTGCTTCAAGCGATAGTGTCATCCACGGACCGACTATCTTTCTCGGCTTGCTTAATTGTTTACTTTAACTAAGAACCAACTATCCACTTATTTCGCAATAAGTGTTCTGACTAAGAGCAGGCTCTCCGGTACGCCAAGTTCTTAAGTTCTTACACCTAATTTTGGTTAAAGCCACGTCATTCCCTATCAGACCTATCATCTGCTCAACTCACTTCTCCGAATATCATCTACAATTCCATCCCTCCCCGTTTCGGTCGACCATTTCAGTTTCTTTTATATATTTCGTCAAATTGATTACATACAGGTAAGCGGTATATGTCGCAATTTGACCCGAACAAACAAATGTCATACGATCCTAATTCCTGACCTCCGTGAATTGTAGCCCCGGATTTCAACTCAACCTCCAGACCTAAGTTTAATCAGTGAGCCTCCCAAGGTCTTTTTTAAATTAACACGTAAAGATTTCCGTCCTTCCGGAGTGGGGGAAGACCTTCCGCATCGGATTAGTTTGGCAAAATTGTAGGTTCATTCCTGATGAATCTATAAATATCTAATTGAGCTGACAGAAATTATCAAATCTCTAAACAGCTAGCAAAAATGTCTTGTGTTTCGCATAAATCACTTATCAAACTCATGTTAAATCTCAGTTAAAACCAAAAACAAAAACCCAAAAAAGTCTGATAACCTTATTTTCATAGACTTTTCTTCCAATTTTTCTTTAAAATTTTTGAAAAAATTTTAATGAAATAGCTTTAATGAAAAAAGTTGCAAGTTATATTTCACAAAACGCATTTGTAATTGAAATTGAAGCGCAGAAAAGGTAAACATTTTTTTTTATATATAGAAAACTAAATACTTTTTTCCTAAAGCTTATGCAACGGGATCTTAAGATGCAATTTTAATACTTAAAAGACTGTTTGACAAAAAAACCACTTTTCTCATTTTGTGTTTTTTGAAAAAAAACTTAAGCAAAAAAATTTTTTTTTGATCGACCCCAATTTTGGCTTAATTTAAGGTTCATTCTTATTTAAACTCGAATAACGTAAGACTAAAAATTACAAAAGACCTAAAATTTCTTGATTATTATCTTTAGATCCACTTCATTATCTTCTACCTGTAGACCCTCTTCATCATTGAATTATCGAGTTTTTATTTTTGCCCACTATCCACCCGCCGTGGATCAAAACCCGAGTTAATGATACCAAATTGTTAATTTTATGTTGATTTTTTCGACCCAATAGTCATGATGTTTGAAAAAGTCCATAAAAACACAAAAAAAAACGAGAGCAACTATCTCGTGTTTGTTAAATCTTGCTCTCGTGTGTTTAGTTGAGCTCAGATACTCTCGTGTTTTATTATGTTTTCACTTGAAATACGAAACACAGGAGCATTGTTACTGTGAAAACACGTGAACATTTTTGAGAGTGTAATTTGGACTGGACTACTGTACTACGATTAACTGACTGACTAATTAATATTAGGCTCTAGTTTCAAGGCATGTAAAACAGTAGAGTCGCCATTTCTACAAATTGTCAAGTGTTCGAAAAAGTTCAAAAAACACTGTTTTCAAAAGTGATCACGTCTCACATTCTCATGGCTCTGAACCATGGCGCTGCAATGATGACGTCAGAGACTATGTCCACTGGCACTAAGTTCGCTATTGCATCTGGATTGGCCATCATCGTCCGCAGCAGACCCATGCCGCACTAAATAAAAGGGTGGTTTAAAAACCAGCCGAAGAATAAACCAGCTACCATATAAACCCACCGAAAATACGTAATTGCAATTAAATAAATATGAAAAAATCATGTAACTCATTGAAACGTCATAAATATGACGTAAATTTTTGGCTGGGTTATATAGTTTTTGGGTAGATATACTTTTTGGGTTGGATCATTTTGCGTTGATGTTTACTTTATTTACACTCGAAAAAGAGTCTGAGGCTAGTTTTTCTGTTCGAAATTTGAGCAAAAGTTAGATCAAATGCTGTCAACACAAGTTCATATAATTATTGTGAAAGTTCACTGCTAGTAAAAACACCATTTTAGAAAAAAAAAATGTCTTCATTGGATGTATGACATAATTTTCATAAAAGATTTCAGGATTTTTCGACGTATGGGTGGTTTTTAGAAGCGTTTTGCTGACATCCATTTAGGTCTGTCAACTTAATTTTTTTGAGATCTCTCGAAGTTCTCTTGATGCTGCAGCCATGTGTTAGCGAAAAAAAAGCCATTTTAGAACATTTCGATGATAAAGCTTGTCAGCATAACCTTCGTAACAGAAGGGTAAATAGCACTAAGAATAAATTTGAGAACAGTTCATCGAAACATCGTTGAAAAAAACTGGTAACAGGTTCAGGGGAGGGAAAACTGTCGTCGATAAATATTTTTGCTCCGGATGGAAGCATGAGTTGAATCTCAAGAGAATCTAAAACTGACAAGGCTCCCCCCTCCCCCCCAACACCCCATACGTCATATAATCACCAGTTATATGGTGTAACGACTGGTTTTATAATGTTCATTATGAAGACCAAATATATTTGTTATGACATGGGTAGTCGGCATGCCAATTTTTGTAACAATCTGACAATGAGATCAGAAAGATTACTTTTTAAAATTTGCAGGTGGGAGGAGGGGGGTTAGGAAAAAGAGCCACTGACCGCAACGAACAAGCCCGAAGCACCACTGTAGTTGTCAATCCAGCCCTTGAAAGGTTCCTTCCACGTCGCGCCCACAATCGTCGGCCGGACTATGACGTAAGGCAGTTCGCGCATTTTGTTCTCTTCCACGAGTAAGTTTTCGGCCAGCTGTTTTGTGAATGTGTACGTGTTCGGCTTATTTCCCATCAGCACTGGCGTCATCAACTCTAAAGCTTTGTCTGGAACCCAGCTGAAACGTAAACGCTCCCATATTACTATGAAGACCCTATTTTGACTAAAAAATTTGCGTCGCAAGAAAAAAAATCAAAGTCCGTTTTCGGGCAATTTAGGAAATTTTTGGACAAAAAATTTTTTAAAAAAATTGGGTTTTTTTGGCTCGCGCTCCCCTTCAAAATTAGTATATACTGGTGCCCAAGGCGCACGTAACTGATCAGTTTCGTTAGCGTCTATCTGGCAAGAATTTTTTTTTGTCAGTATGGTTTGTGTGCAGTTAGTTAAAAGGTTATCATCCAAGTCCCCATACTGACCAAGTGAAGATTCGCCACCATACTAACTATTTTATGACGAAGTTAGTTAACGCTGCGTGTATCATATTCGAATCTGATCAGTTGAAAGTTCCAATTCAGAACCAAACTAACATCCACCCCTGCATCGCTTTGAAGTGATGGATGTTAACTTGATGCCAGATTGCCATAATGGCCTTACTATGGCCTTGGTATGGCCTTACTATGAACTATGGCCTTGATATGGCCTTGGTATGGCCTTAATATGGACTATAGCCTTGCTATGGCCTTGATATGGCCTCACTATGGTCTTGCTATGGCCTTACTATGACCTTGGTATGGCCTACTACTAACTCGACTGCCTCGATGACCTTGTGAGGGTTGAACTGGGACTGGTACACATATTCCCTGATGTAGCTGAGGTCACAGTTGGAATAAGCAGTGGACACGTGAACAAGTGTCTTCAGATTGGGAAACTTCCGACTCAGTCTGATGACCTTCAGGGTGCCAAGAGTGTTCACGGTCAGCGCTGTTCTGGACAAAAAATGATTTCCGGCTGTGATTAAAAACACGATTGTCAAAAACTGGTTATGTTCTAGAAAAAGTTGAGGTCAGTCTTCCATGAAAAGTAAATCTGAGATTCAACAATTTATCACAGAAACAAAAAATTGTAGGTTGGCCTTCGTGTTATTGGCCGCAAACTAGGTTTACGCAAAGCTTTCGGCTTGAAGAACCTAAATTTTGTTGGATAGTGTTTAGATATAGCAATGAAAAAAAAATTGTTTTCATTTTCTTATTTTGTCAGCTCTTGAAAGGGCATATTTTATATTCTACATATCTGGGATTTTCAAATGCTAGTAATATACCTGAGCGCCTCGTTGAACTTGATTGTGGCTGCAGAGTGAATGACGACACTGATGTTAGACTGAGACAAGAGGTACTCGTTCTCGGATGAGATGCCCAGATTGGGTTCTGCCATGTCCCCACAGATAGGAAACACCTTCTCAAGACACACCTCAGTGCCCAACTCCTTCTTCACCTGAAGTTGTATGCTTTGATTGAAGTTGTATGAAGTTGGATCAAGTAAACAATACCCCCTCCCCTCCATCCCCCCTTCCCCCTTCCCCTCCCACCAAAGTAAACCAAGTTAGGAATTTCCTCGTATCCACTTTTCTCGCAATGAGATTTCATTTTGTTGTAATTAATCTGAATTTACAGTGAATGGAATCTAAAACGCAAATGATTTATTATGAATCTTATTATTTAATTTGCAAAAAAACTGCTTAGCTCTGCATGTAAAACAATCAATTTGGAGACCGAATGTAAAAATTTGCCAACGACGAGAACTTAGACACTTTGGAAAGCAACAAGGTCTGGCATGCAGGTGGGACACTTAAGGCATGTCCATGTTATTTTATCAAAACTTAACTCTTCATGCTGTTGTTAACGATCAAACTGCTCTTTTATTTTTTTTATTTTTCAAAACAAATGTGAAGAGCAACACATCCGGGACTTCAGACAATTGAAAGAAATGAACCAAGGATTTGAGCCCTAACAGATTGTGGTAAATTTTGAGAAGGCTTCAATTACCGCTTTTCCGAAGGTATCCAATGGAGTACCTATAACAGGTTGCTTTTTCCATTTCGCTCAGGCCAATTGGCGCAAAATTCAAGAGAACGGATTAGCACCAGTGTATCGAGAAGATAAAGAACACTGCTGCTTTGATAGAAATACCTGAGCTCGACTTTGAAATCGGCATGACTGCTTTATGCTCTGAAACTTCCGAAAAAAGTGCACATTATTGGATTACGTCCGTTATTTCAAATCAACTTGGATTGGAACTTTCCTCCGAGGACGCAGAGGGGTCGGGCAATTCCCTATTTCACTCTGGAATTAGTTCGAAAACGCAAAAAATGGAAGACATAAAACCAACTATTTGTTTTAGGGATGGCATAGGGCCTTCCAGATGGGGATGGGGTGTGCTCACCCTACCATTCACAAATTTATCCAATTCCTGAGAAAAAAGCAAAGTCTGAGAAGAAGTTGGCAAGAATAACTGCCGGAGAAAGTGCCGCCAAGGTGGCTATATGCGGAAAAAACCCAGCAAGAATAGTTGAAATCCTTAAACAATATAGCAACACTAAATTTCCTCAAGCAACTTGAGGGCTGTGACGCGCCAATCTCCACACTTCGTAATAAAATCGGTTTTCAAACACTTGAATTATAACGAGTACTTTATCGGGAAAATAACGATATTTTTAACAAGCTTTTTTATTGTTATCGGTAACATCGGTAACATCGGACCACAATAAAACTGCATAACTCAAAGCAAGCTGCAAAAATGGCCAGTATTTGTCCTTGAGACAAATTGCTCTTTTTAAAGGTCAGCCTTAACCAAGGCTGAACCAAATTAGAGCGAAAATACGGTTAAAATGGGTTTTGGGGGACCGAACCTGGTTACGGAGCATCCCATCAAGTTCGGTGCACATTCGAGTTCTAGAAAGGAAATGACCTAGTCGGGATTCGAACCGGTGCCGAATCCGCCGGGACGCACCATGTATACGCTTGGCTACTGTCCCTGTATGCATTTACTTTTATATGCATTTATACTATTGTTTTATATTTGCGCTGCAACATCCTCCACCCCTAAACAAGGAAGAACGGGAGCGAGCTTTACGGTCGGGCGAGTCAGTTCGCTTGTAACGGTCTTTATGTCGGCGGATCGGGAGCATCCGTCTTTGCCGTAGTGTAGTTTAGCAATACGGGCGAGTGGGTAATGCCCACGTGGGCTGTCGGGTTCGACTACCCAAACCAAGTGGCCGGTTTTCAGTGTGACATCCGAATCATTATGCCACTATGCTCTCTTGTTGAGAGATGGTACATATTCACGCAGCCAGCGTGACCAAACTGCGTTAGCGTACGATTGTGCTCTGGCGTAACGCTTTTTATAATCAAAGTTATCTTCGAAACTTAACGACGGGAAGCTAGCTGCGCTGTGACCGAGAATGAAGTGATTCGGGGTGAGTGCCTCTAGGTCGTGCGGATCGGAACTGACCGGAGTGATCGGTCTTGCGTTAAGTAATTGTTCAACTAGGCAGAGCGTTGTTCCTAGAACTTCCTCAGTTAATCTCCTGCTGCCTAATATGTCGTACAACACTCGCTTAACACTTCTCACTAGCCGCTCCCAGGCGCCACCGTGATGAGGGGCACTGGGCGGGTTAAACTTCCACTTAATGCCTTTGTGGACGAAAACGGCCGGGGCGACTTTGTTCCAATTTTGGACACAGGATAGGAGCTCCTTTTGAGCACCAACAAAATCCGTGCCATTGTCAGAAAGAATGGTTTTGGGGGTACCTCGCCTTGCAATAAATCGCTCTACGCCCATGACGCAGGAACTAGTATCGAGAGATGGAACCAACTCGATGTGAACTGCTCGAGTCGTGAGGCAGGTAAATAGGAAACCCCATCTCTTTTCGGTACTTCGGCGTATCGGCACTTGAAACGGGCCAAAGTAATCAACACCTGTGTTGGAGAAGGGAGGCTGCTTGTAACCCAGTCTTTCAATCGGTAGGTCAGACATAATGGGCACAACTGTTTTTGCTTTGCGCTTACGGCATTTTATGCAAGTATTTTCGATGTTCCCAAGTAACCAGCGCAACTTCAGAACAATGTATTTCAACTGAACTACAGCACGCATGTAATCCAACCCCTGATGTGCATGTTGAAAGTGCGTATGCCTAATCAACATATGAGCAACTCGGTGTCGACCATCCAGTATTATTGGATGTTTGCTATCAAAGTCGGTATCAACAAGACGGCTGATACGTCCAGTTGAACGCAGGATGCCAGCTGGGCCGATGAACGGAGAATATTTAGCAATCCGACTTTTCTTTGTTATCAGTTTATCGGACTGAAGTATTTTCCCTTCGGCAGGAAATGATTCGGACTGAGCGAGATAAATGAGCTTCTGCTCGGCAATATCTAACTCGGACGGGTCGGTTATTTCAAGCGTTTTTGTACGGAAGTGTTTATGCGATGGTAGCACACGAAGCATAAATGCTAAAACACGTTTGTACTTTACAATTGAGCTGAATTTATCCCAATTTTTAAACAGACGGATCGACGGCGCTTTCTCAGATGAAGCATCAACAACAAACGTAGATGCAGTCTCAAGGCATGTATCAATGTCACAGAGTGGGCCTTTTAATTGGATCTTTTTGATGACATCAGTGTTCGGCTTGAATGGCCAATCACATGTCCTCAATATACTAGGGCCTCTAACCCAGCTTCTATCCTTGAGGGCTTCCGAAGAAATCCCTCGTGTGCCGGTATCAGCTGGGTTATCACCACTGAGTACATGATTCCATTGATCAATGGTGGTTGACTCCAAGATTTCACCAGTGCGGTTTCCAACAAACACAGGAAGTTTGTTGCACGAGTTAAGCCACTGGAGAACGGTGGTAGAATCAGTCCACATGAATACATTGCTTACTTTGAAAGTAAGCGCTTTCAAAATCTCTTCTTTGAGTCGAGTCGCAAGCAGAGCAGCCTGAAGCTCTAACTTGGGAATGGAGAGCATCTTCATAGGCGCTACACGGGCTTTCCCAAATACAAAAGCTAACTCGGTCTTTTGCGATTTAGCAAGTCGGGCTCGGAGAAACGATACGGCGCAAAAAACGTCCTGCGAACTATCACCGAACGTGTGAAGTTCACAGCGGTCGAACGGTTCGGTAAAGTAGCTACGAGGTATCGTCAGAGTACCTAATAGTGGAAGTCCTGAGTGCCAATCTAGAAATTGTTGTTTAATTTCCTCTGGGAGATCATCATCCCACTTTTGACCACTGATTCTCCATATGTCTTTTAGTAAAAGGAGCGCTTTCACAGTATATGGAGCTACCAGTCCTATTGGATCAAAAACTGAGGAAACAAAACTCAACACGGAACGTTGAGTAATTGCTTTATCTAGTGGTCGATCAACACCTCTACTTACTACTAGGGTATCTTTTACATGATCCCACCTGAGACCAAGAACATGCGACGATTGGTCTGGACTCTTACAAATATCCTTAACTGACGGGTTGGACTCACGGTTGTCCGGATTAAGAGCGGTTGTAACTTCGGGTACATTGCTAACAAACTTTGTCAGGTTAAACCCACCTAATTTGAGCATTGCGACTAAGTCTTTACTTAGGCTAAGAGCGTCAGCGGTATTTTCGAACGAGTCAAGATAGTCGTCCATGTAAAACTTCTGGACAACGGCTGAAGCGGCTTCGGGGTATTCAGCTTGATTATCAGAAGCAGTTTTTTGTAGCGCGAAATTCGCACAAGTTGGCGAATCACGAGCGCCAAAAATATGACGGGTGTATTGGTGAACCACCACACTTGAAGTGGGGTCCTCCCGCCACAAAAAACGGAGAGACGGTTGATCTCGCGCAAGTACTCCAACTTGTAAGAACATACCTTCTATGTCCGCTGAGACGGCGTACTTGTGTTGACGGAACCTCAACAGTACAAAAATAAGATTTTGAAGGAGATCCGGGCCAACCAAGAGAGATCTATTTAAGGAAGTGCCATGAAATTTGGATGCTCCATTGAGGACACGGCGCACCTTGCCGGGTTTGTTCGGGTTCAAAACCGGATGGTGTGGAAGATACCACTCACGTTCGGCTCGTGAGCTGGGATCGTGCGGGTTGACGGTTATGACATATCCTTTACTTATATCTTCTCTGATTGTTTCGGTATACTTCTCGCGAAGTAACGGATCTTTATCTAATCTTTTCTCTAACGACTTTAATTGGGCTAATGAAGAATAATAAATGTTAGGTAAGCTAACATCATTATCACTCCACAGCATCGGTACAGTGTAACGCTCACCATCGTGAATGGTTTCAGTTTTTAGGATCGACAAAGCACGCTTGTCTGCGGCGGAACGGGCATCTACTTGCTTGAACGCACCATACGACTCTAACTCATACCAAGTTTTGATTTGGTCGGTCAGAGAAATATCGTCCGTAACGCAGTTAAAGGAAGAAGAATTTA